GCAAAACCGCCTCACCGGCCTCAAGAGTCACGCTGGCGACACGTGGGGCTCCTCCGCTGGGAATCTCCTGGTGTGTGAGCAACAAAAATTGATCTGAAAGTGTGGCATCCTCTCATTCTCTGCTCTTTCAGTGGGAGCTGCAATCCCGAGCTGCTAGTGATCAGCCATCTTGGATCTCTCTCTGATTTCTGTTTTTTTATTTTGTTTACCTCTCAGGTAAATCATCTCCCCCCACATCTCTACTGTTCCACTTATTTTAGTGATTACCTGAAATTTCACCCCAAGGAAGCTCTGTAATTTACTGAATCCCTCCTCTGGGAAGTTTCATTTTTAAAAGAAAAAGAAGTCAATGGAGAAGACTACTGTTTTTAAGACAGTGCAGGTCTGAACCACAACCTAAGCAGGCTGAGACCAGCAAGCCAAGGCTATGTGAAATGAAGAGAACGATGACACTGAACAGAAAAGAAAGGAGAGGCATCCAAACAGGGCTGGGATTTGGTGCCTTTCACAGACTAACACACATTAGTAATAACAATACAGGCAGAATCTTTAGTCCCATAAATGAGTTTTGCTGGATCCCATAATACATGAAATAAAGGTGAACAAATTTTGGTTAATAATGAGAGTGAATCATAGATTTTTAATGTTTTCTAAGTTATTTTCTTCTCAAAACCAAAGTGTTCCATATGAAAAGTTTTTAAAGAAGCTGGGTTTTCTGGCAGCACAAAGATCAAACAAGAGCCTTGCACTGCACAGGATGACGTGGCCAGGGAGGGGGTTCCTCCCTGGGGCGCTGGGACAGCTATGGTCCAAGCCTCCAGGTGCAGCCACACATGAGAGGCATAAGGGGGATGGGGACCAGATGGAGTAAAAGCCACAGCCTGGGACTGCTTAGATAAACCCCTGGGGACATATTCCAGGGAGGTCACATTCCGCTAGATCTGACAAAGCTTCCTCCAGGCAGCCCTGCCTTCTCAAACAGGAAGGGGAAAAGGTCCCAGGGAGGAAGAGGGCAGGAATAGCCTCAGACAGTGAGTCATAAGCCTGGGGGAACGAGCTGTGCCTCACGGTATGCAGCGGACTGTAGCCCATGTGGCTACTGGGCAGGACTGAAAAGATCTAGGTCCCAAAGAGGAGGGCCCGACATGTTGGGGTGGGTGACCTTGGGTACAGCTGGACTTGCCTGCCCAAACACAATGGGAAAGGGTTGGCCCGCTGGGCAACCGCAAGCTGGCAAAGTGGAACAAACCCGATGCGGGGTGGCCTTTTCCATGGCCTCTCCGCTGTCCGCCAAACTACAGGCAGAAAACCCACAGGAGAGAAGGCCTGGTGCCCCTGTTAGCCTCAGCTCCGGGCACACAGCAAGCCACAGGGAGGCGTATGCTCTACCGGGGGCCCGCTGGGAGGTGCTTACCGCTTTCTGAAGGGAGTCGATGAGGTTCTGCAGGTCGATGTCATCCCGGTAGGACTTGATGTTGCTCTCGAAGAACTCCCGGAACCGGTCCCTCACCCAGTCCTGGAACAGGAAGGCCAGAACGGCCACAGCCAGCTCCAGGAAGAAGATGAGCACGATGGTGCCACAGAACTGCAGGGGATGGGGACGGGAGCAGCAGTCACCACCCCACCAACCTTGCCCGCCGCCCCCCCCGCCCCCCACAACAACTCCACCTGACCCAGAACCACTGCAGCAGGGCATGGGCTCTGCACCTGAGAGTCTCACATCGGGGCCCTGAGAATCCCACATAGTTAGCTGGGTGACTCTAGGCAACTTCGCTTCATCTGTAAAGAGGGGCTATTTGTCCCTGCCCACGTCACTACACTGCTGGTAACAGTCAAATGACTGAAAAAATGTGAGAAAGCTCCGAGCCAATGTGTCAATCATTTCCTATGAAGCAGCCCTCCTTCCTGGACAAGGAGGAAACCCTATTACAGGAATGAATGGCTGTCCACCTGGATCCCCCAGGGTGGAATCCTGGGGTATCGGCTCCTTTAGTACAGACACTGTGCCCCAGACGCTATGTGATGACTCCTTCCCCTCACACAACCATCGAGTACCTAGGTATCTGTCACCTCACTTCAGGGATGAGAAAACTATGACTAGGTACATAGCTTGCCTGAGGTCACATAGTTCATGCAGGCCATGTGAGTTCCCTGGCAGGGCTCTTTACAGTTCTGGAAGTGCCAGTGTTATCTGTACCAACTCTGCATGACAGTATATGATCGTCAGCTGCATAAAGACCCCTCCAGAAGCTCGGCTGCCCCGGGCCACTAGCAGTGGTGGCATTCTACAAGGGCCCAGTGCTGCCACAGGTCCACATCCCATCAGGGCAGACTCCTAGCCTGCGGTCTGTGCTCTCACAGCCATTATCATTGGCCATACAAGACACTAAGCAGCTTTGCCATAACCGGCAAATTTGGAGTAATCTTTCAAAGCAAGAAAAAGGAAACACGCATGCACACATACACACACACGCACACAAGGCCTGCCAAAATGTAATCTCTGTTCACAGAACAGCAACATGCTAAACATCAAAGAAAAAAAAAAACCCCATAGCTTTGCTTTAAAATTCAGTCCAGGAAAGAGAACGCTTGATCTAATCAAGTCAACAAACAATACACTGCAAAATATGATACTAATGTGTTTTCCCCAATGGATACAATTAAAAATGAATTTATATCTAAATATAAAACTAAACTCTTAGTAATCTGCAGTTTTGCCAGGAAATTTGGGATTCTGCCTTGTACATCCAACAGACTCACACATCCTTAGAGGAGGGAAATGGTTTCTCAAGGTTATTTGCAACATCTTTTGATCTTAGTCAGGAAGGGCAAAGGAGAGCAGCAGACTAACAATTCTTTCAGAACTTCTGAAGAAAGATAAAAGGCACAGGAGCAGGGAGTAGAACTGGCCTACAGGCGGCTGACTCCTCCCACCAAGGGCTAAAACCCAGAGGGTACCTAATTCTCCTGGGGTGAGGAACCAGCTTCTGTAGACAGCAGGGTGCAAAGGGCTGCCTCCTGCTCCCAGGCAGGGGCCTGGGGGAGGCTTCTAAGAGTTGCCCCCTGCTCTGGCCAGGTAACATATAACCCTGCCCAGCAGAACCTGTACCCCCCTCCATCCTATCCCACTCTTGTCTCTGTGGCCACTCACAAAGTTGAGCAGGCAGATATTCTCCCGCAGAGCCCCCACGCAGCCGGCAAACCCCAGGGTGAACATCACCACGCCCACCATCAGGACCAGCACCACGGGGTCGATTCCATGCATCCGGGTCACTTTGGTGAGGTCGGACAGTACACCCTGAAAGAGACAGAGAAAGCAGGGCAGCATCAGCAGGGAAAGGGAATCAAGAATGCCACCCGGGGGAGTGCAGGTGGAACGGAAAACAGGGACTTGCCTTCCCAGGCTCAGTCCTCTTGTTAACAGCCAGGCCAGAGTCTGGCCCCATCCATGCCCTCAGGGACCCCTCTGACCAGCAGATTCTTGTCCACCTCAGGTCCCAGAGGGTATTCCTGGCCTCCACCTAGGCTGTGAGTTCCTCCCAGGCAGCCACCAGCCTTCTTCCATAGCCTGCAGGGTGCCTGTTCCAGGCCTGGAGGGAAACAGAGCCCTGTGGCCTGTGGTCAAACTGGTCACCCAGGTGGCTAACCTCGTTAGTCCCCCAATTTGGCACCTAATTAATGAGGAACGCTACTCTCCTGAGATGAAAACAGCTTCAATATGAACACTCTTGGGGAAAACACAGCAGGGGGCAGGCCAAAGCAGCACTGCCCGTAAGTTTCTACATTGATGGAGGTGTTTTAGACTATGCCCCCACTGTCCAGCCATAGGGATCGTGGAGCACTTGAAATGTGGCTAGTGAGACAGAAGGGCTGAATTTTGTTTTATATTCAATTTCAATTTAAACACAAACCATCACACAATGGGGAGAATAGTTCTGTAGGGTTTATAAAATGCCAAGGGGAAGCTGAGCCCTGGAGACTGAGCCATACAGCATGTTTGCAATTCTGTTTCTTAGATTATGGTTGAACTCTCCTCCTCTTTGTTCCCGCTAGGTAAGGGACTAGGAGAGACCACAGCCCCCCTTCCAGTCACTGATCTCTGCTATAGTTTAACTGCTTCCTTCATTGTTCTTTACTGACTCAGATCAGGTATCATCTAAGACCAGGGACAATTACATCTACAGTGTGGAATGCTAAACATACCTTTCCTGAAAGCTGCCTCAACTAATCAGAACATCGTGACTATGCATTAAGATGTACATAGGTGTCCGGGGGTGGTGGGTCACGTCTGTAATCCCAGTACTTTGGGAGGCTGAGGCGGGCAGATCACTTGAGGCCAGGAGTTCAAGACCTGCCTGGCCAACATGGCAAAACCCCATCTCTACAAAAAGATACAAAAATTAGCCGGGTGCTGTGGCACATGCCTGTAATCCCAACTATTCAGGAAGGGGAGGCATGAGAATCTCTTGAACCCGGAAGGCGGAGGTTGTAGTGAGCCAAGATCAAGCCACTGCACTCCAGCCTGGGCAACTGAGGCTCTGTCTGGCTTTGTGCAGATAAACCATCCCAAGCTGCTACACTTCGAACAGGAAGGCTGACTTCCATTCTTTGGAATTTGTGCTTCTTGGGTAGGCCTGTCCTCAACATGTGTGATTGAATAAAGTCTCTCTAAGCTAGGTTCTGGCCTTTTTAACTATTTTAGATGGACAGATTCAAAGGAATAGTAGCCAGCTCCACACTTAGGGCCACACCCAGTCAGGTGGCTGCAGTCCCAGGGGCAGCCACACGGTGGCGCTGTGAGACAGATTGAACCTGCTTCTGGGTCACTGGGGCAAAAGGACATCACACTCCAGCTCTTGCCCTTCAGGGGTTCACAGGCCACTTTGAAGGTGCCCAAACTTGAAGGTGGGCCTTATCCACACCTAAGATCATGGCAGGAAAGCCTGTAGATCTAGGTTCTCCTGCCTCTTCCTACCGGAAGCAAAGGGAAGTTCCACTGAAGGAAGAAGGCCCGGGCCCAAGACACCAGAAGAAGCTTTAGTCCTGGCTCTTTCTGGCCAGGCCTGCTCTACCTTACTGCTTCCCTCTCCTCTTCCCTCCCTAGCTCTTTACAGCCCTTACCGCCTCCCCAGCACTCGTGCCACAGGGCAAGAAGTGGCAGCACAGCCCCACCCTGCCCACTCCAGTTTCGTCCCCTTCCTGGAGCTGCAACTGCCCCATGTGCCTCCAGACAGGAGAAGCTGTGTCTCCCCTCCTCCCCTCTCTTCCTGAGGCTGGGCAAGGAGGCACAGAGATGCTTAAAGAATAACCCCTGCCCCACAGGGTACCCTGGGGGCACGTAACCCAGCCCTGCTCCCTGCTCTCTCTCAACCAAGAGGATAAGGGCCTCAACAATAAGCATGCCTGTGTTCAGTGACCTGGGTCGCCCCATGCCTGCCCTGGGCACAGCTGCAGGCAAGAGCTGAGCTCTCTCCATCCACAGAGATCAAAACCGAAACAGCCCAGCTCCTGCCTCCAGCAGCCGACCTTATCGTGGGGACAGAGTAGGCAGGTGCTGTATCTGTAAACATTAACAACTACACACCTTGACACTGCACGAGAAATGCTTGTCAGGGAACAGACTGGAGGATGGGAAAATGAAGTCCAATTAATCTGGTTTTGGCTGCCTGAAGCTCAGCGTCCTGTGACAGTTATACCTACCTTTTCGCTCCATGCCCACAGCCCAACTCCGAGGAAGACAACTCCAGCCAACTAAGCGGGGGCAGAGGAGAGAGAGAGAGAGGGGAAGTTAGGCCAGAAACCAGCACTGTGACCATGCTTCATAGAGTGAAGTCCACACTGTCAGGCAGGGCACGCTCCTAGCTCACATCCCACATGGCCCCTTGGGCCCTGCAGATGACAGGGGCCGGCAATGCCAGAATAAATGGGCATTGAGGTTCTTCAGATAACTTGAACCCACCTTCCTGAATGTCTGGACAAACTCCTTCAACCTCAGATGACCCCGTGACCCAGGGAGGGGAACAGGAAAAGATCTCAGAGCAGACTCCACCCTGGAGAGACTATGGGTCACAGACATCAGGCTGTGCCCTGTTTCTTCCCCTTTCTGCAACCCTGACTCATATCAGTGCACTATCTGGTGTATAAGAAGACATCACCCCTTGTGAGGGCTGCCCCAGGTCCCCTCAGAGGTTCCTAAAGCAAGAAGAGGCTGCACAGGGCCGGGCACCACCACAGGGTGAAGACAGGGGGAAGCAGAGACCAGCACCACCTCTGCCACACATGCCAGCTCTCCAGTCCTGGAGGTAGACGCCAGGCACAGATAAGCAGCTACCCAGCGGCCCAGGCCATCCACTGGCCAGGGCTAAGCCTCCTCCCCGAGGCATCTGTACTGAGCAGGGGGTGCCCCTATGCTCAGGATAGGCTGGGTTTTTAGCTAGAGAATGAAAACAGGCCTGCTCTAAGCAATGCGCTCACCCCAGAAGAGAAGCACCCCCAACCCCAACCTCCCAACTGCAGGAACCTACACCCCATGTGTACCACAACAGAAAGGGGCCCATCCAAATACATCACACAGGTTCCTAAAGCAGAGAGGACTTTTCCATATAGAACAAAACACATTGTGGGCTCTGCTAATAAAGCTGCCTCCTGTTTTTCTGTCAAGATTTTATACCACACTGGCATTTCACTGCCATTTATCAGCATCTCACGATAAATAACAGGACCACACTTCTCTATGACTATCAGCTTTCCAGTGTGTTCTCAAGCCTTGAGCCACTTCTGCCTATTTTACTCAATAACTCGCCCCAGGACCAGAATGGAAAGAAAAGGCTCAAGGAAAGCCCCAGGAAGTCTCACCCAACCTGAAGGTGATCTGTGATCCAACCTCTTCTGGGTCACAGATCACTTTCAGAAAATGCACACATACCCAGTATTTTGTATGAAATTTCAGAGAGTTCATAGCTTCCCACTGCTGGCTCCCACAATGGTCTGTGAACAGTAAGTGAAGAAGCCTCACCAAGAACCAATCACTCCATTTACAAAAGCAGAACACTGGGGCCCAGGGAGGGCCAAGACCAAAATGCCAGGCAGTGGGGAGAAGGGCTGAATCCCAAGTCTCAGTTCATTCATTCATTCTTCACTCATTCATTCAACAAATATTCATGGAGTACATCCCGAGAGTCAGATACCGTGTCTCAAGTACTAGATAAAGCACCATGCGGGGCAGAGCTCCCTGGACTCATTCCTGACCTTTTCTACCACACCACACCCGTTTCCCGATTCTCAGTCTGCCCCTTAAACTGACCAGCTGGGAAGGGTTCTCTTGATGGAATGCATGACTGCTTCCTTTCTCTCTCCAGGTGTCTTACACTGACATGCTGAGCTCCAGCCCCACCCACCTTATTCAAGGTTCCCAGTGACCTGCCTCCTCCTTCCCAAGGCTGGAGGCCAAGACTTTTTTCTCATGGTATCTGGCTGGTCACTGGTCACAGCTGGTCATTCTTCCTTCCTCCAACTACTCCACTGACACACTCTGCTTTGGGGACCCCAAGCATATGCCCCTGGCGGCCTTCCTCCCTGCTCCTCCTCCTCCTCCTTCAGACCCCTCTAGATGCTGGTGGGCCTCACTCACAGTCCTAGCTCCTTCACCCTGCCCTGAGCCCTCTAGATGATCTTGTAATTCACAGGGTTTAAATGCCATCTATACACTGCCGACTGGCACACCGAGATCTCCAGTCGTGGCTGTGCCCCGGGTCAAATACCCTAGCGTCTACTTCACTTGTCCTCCTAAGACAGCTAATGATATTTCACTCTCACCATGCCCCGCTCTGCAGCCTTGGTCCCCCAACCCCAACCCAGCTCCCCACAACTGTTCTCCGACTCATTCAGTGGCACCACCGTCCACCCAGCCAGTGTAAGAGAGAAAACCCAGACCCCAGGCTTGGTGTCTTCTTCCTCTTTTGCCCCACACTCCCCCAGAGGACCCTCTGCTGGTTCTGCCTCCAAATACACAGTGCATTCGACCAGCTTTCCTCCAGAGTCTCTGCTCCCACCTGCCCCGGCTCCACTCAATTGTCTGGATCCCACAGAAGGCTCCTCATGGGTCCCCAAGCAACAAGACTGATCCTTCAAAAATACAGAACCAGGAACTCCCCTCCATGAAACTCTGCAGTGACTTCCCATGCAGACCTAGAATGAAATGCACACCCTCTGCTATGGCCCCCAAGGCCTCTGCAGCCAGGCTTGATGCACATCTCCCATGGCATCTCCTTCCCCTCTCCCTGCTCCAGCGCCACTCCCTGGGCCACCCTGGCATTGCTGCTGTTTCTTGAAGTCGTCAAACTCACCCCTGTCTCGGAGTCTGGACACTGTTCCCCCAGCCTGGAATGCTCTTTCTCCATATGCATTCCTGGCTCCTCCCTCACTACATTCAAGGCCTCCTTTTACCATTCTGCATGGAACTGCTCCCCATCCCCCACGTGTGACCTCCTCTTGATTTTCTTTGAAGCACTGATCCCAGATCCCCAGCTAAGCCATCCTGAGGGCAGAGACATTATCTGTTTTGTTCAGAGTGGCAGCCCAATAACTTGGAGGACTTGGCCCCATAGTAGGCACAGGGCCCAATACCAGGACAGTGCTTGCCTGAGTCCTTCTGGCTACTACCCTCAGGCACATTTCTGGGTGTAATTCGATCCAAAGGCATTCAGAGCAAATGTGGGCCAAGAAACGCCCAGCCCGGCCCAGGTCCATGGTCAAGCTCTACATAGGGGCATTTCCCTCCGGTCAGAGCAGAATAAGCCTAGAGGCCGATGCCCCATCCAGTGTTCCCAACAGACATTCCAGCCCCTGCCTAACTGCTTCTCTTAACTGTTCACTCATCCCCTGGTGCCACATGTGACAGGAGAGAAGAGTCCGCCTTAAAAACACTCAACAAAACCACTGCTGGAACTCTCCTCTCTCCCCCCACTGCACCTCACAGCTCACCCCTTCTCTCACCTTGACTTCTATCATTTCCCACATTGATACCAGCCTCAGGTTGAGCACAGTGGCTCACAGCAATTTGGGTGGCTGAGGCAGGAGGATTGCTTGAGCCCAGGAGTTCAAGACCAGCGTAGGCAACACAGCAAGACCCCATCTTATTTAAAAAAATGTTTTTTTAAAAAATTAGCTGGGTATGGTGTCCCATGTCTGTACTAACAGCTATCAGGGAGGCCGAGGTGGGAGGACTGCTTGAACTCGGGAGGTCAAGGCTGCAGTAAGCTGAAATTGTGCCACTGCACTCCAGCCTGAATGGTGACAGAGTGAGACCAGGTCTCCCCCACCCCAAAAAAACCAGCCTCAGCTCCATCTATATTAATAGGTTCCTGTGAATTCATGCTGAGGTGCTGCTTTAATTGTTCTCCTAGATGACTAAATAGATACAATGGGAAGAGGTGACTGGTTTCACAAAGGGAATTTTGCTCTGCACAAGTTCTCAAAAAAGACCCTCGATCTCAAGAGCAGTTCATATCTCTACCCTCGGGGACCTGCTCCTGCTCACCTCTGTTCCAATCGCCCTTTCCCCAAACACAGGGCCACTTACCACTCTGCATATGGCCCACAGACCACACCCTCCCCAGCTTGCTGTTCTTCCCAAGGCCCCCCACCCCAGGAAAGCCCTGGCTGACTCTTTGGGCTGGGGAAGCCAGCTCCCCACCACTATGTGCAGTTCTCCTTCTCTCAGCTCTAAGAATAAGGGCTTGGCTGGGCGTGGTGGCTCATGCCTGTAATCCCAGCACTTTGGAAGGTCAAGGTGGGCAGGATCACCTGAGGTCAGGAGTCCAAGCCCAGCCTGACCAACATGGAGAAACCTCGTCTCTACTAAAAACACAAAATCAGTTGGGCGTGGTGGCACATGCCTGTAATGCCAGCTACTCGGGAAGCTGAAGCAGGAGAATTGCTTGAGCCCAGGAGGCGGAGGTTGCGGTGAGCCGCTGCACTCCAGTCTGGACAACAAGAGTGAAACTCCATCTCAAAAAAAAAAAGAATAAGGGCTTGTGTTGTTTTCCATTCTATTTTAAAGGAAGAACTAAAGTTAACTCACACCGGAAAGACAAGAACTTGGGGGTCACATGTCTGATCATGCGTTCAATGAACAGTGGCCCAGGGCAGGAGCTCTGAGCACCAACAATCCTGGTTTCAGAGACCAGGAGGCAGAGGGAGGACCAGATAGAGTAAGTAACCTACCTGGGCGCTCACATAACAGTGCCATGAATGAGCCGGGTCACCAGCCTACGTCACCCCAACAGAACCCTTCCCTGGAACTCTGCAGCAGATGGTCCATGAGGCCAGGCCGGGTAAGCCCTGGCTGCCAATCTTCTGGGAGTGAGGGTTCAGCTGAGTGCCCTCCAGCCTCAAGTGACCTTCTTTGTCTCCCTCCTATGACCCTACTGAAGAACGGGGCCCAGCTCCAGCCAAACTCAAGAGGAGGCCAGCGTTCTGTCTGTCTAGACCAGTGAGCATCTAGACTGCTGTGGTCACCGCAAATGATGGCCCTTTCCTGGGAGCTATGCACTGCATTAAACATTTAATGCACCGAAGACTATTCCTCCGTGTCCCATAACACTGGCCCAATTACCCTCATTTTTCAGATGGGAAAGCTCAAATGTAGAGCAATTTGGTCCTTTGCCCAAGGTCACATGGCTAGCTAGTGGCAGACTTAAGAACCAAACCCGGACGCCTCTGACCCTGGCAACACATTATCTCACCACCCA